TATTATACTAAATATTAAATCATATATTGGATGTGCCGATTGTAATAGAATTAGTCGATATTTTTAAAATTTAGTGCATTTTTTAAAGTTCCATCCTACATTATATATTCGACAATTTAATAACTGCTTCTTTTATCACAGTATTTGTCGCATAATGATCATACGGAGTCATGTCAAAAACTCTCGGATTCTGCTTTAGCTTTGCATTTTTCGAATCATCAAATATTTCTATTTTAAAAATTTTACACCAAACCAAATAAGAACAGATGGATTCAACTATTCAGCAATGGGTTTTTAAATTTAAAATGGGTCATGTAGCACCCTTGACGAGCCCCGCCTCAGACGGCCCGTTGAGGTCACAACTTCAAAAATGAGTGAGAAAATCTATGAAATAGTGTTGCAGGTTGCAAGTGCATTTGAACACTGCCACATTTTGCCGCTTTATAGGCGTAATCAAAACGAATCTTTGCATCGATTCATAAATGTTGATAGGACTTGATTCGATCACTACATTCTTGAAAATAATAAACAGTCAAAACAGCGAATTGAAGCTTGAATTGATTCCGCAACCTCCCTAGTCTCCAGACTTAGTTCCCAGCGACTATTGCCTATTTCCTAACCCCAAAAAAGGCTTGGCGGTAAATGATTTAAAAGCAACGAAGCTGTAGATCAGTATTTTGAAGAGCTTGAGTGAGAAATGTATCAATGTTGATGTGGATTGTGTTTTATTTCAACGTACCGAGTGCCGGGCGACTTTTTGACAAAAACAGCCGCGTTACAACCTTGTATTCCAACTGTTTCAATTTTTTCCAGCATTCGTTGATAAAATTTTAAACGGCTAAATTGCGCAGGTTAAAACCTCGGCGATTTTCCTGCTATCAACATGTTCCGGTTGTTTACGAGGCTATCGTATTTCCTGGCGGCTACCTGTTTACCCTATAACTTGCAATTACATGCGACGCAGTTGCTCGTAAAACGTAATATTTTTATTAAACTGGGTCCGGTTCTGCGCTACGGCCGCCGTACGATTCTGAATTGCTAATTGACTTATACGGAATATTACCAATAACAAATTAATTTGTTTATAGGCGGGGCTCGATTTATTGGAAACGTGCGGAAAAAAAAGGAAGGCGAAATCTGTCCGGCTTGTCAGCGTTTTTTATTAGCGACGGCAGCGGCCTGTCTCGCTCGTATTTTAATGTCGCCGATTCTCGGTACGGGACGTATTTTTTTCAAAACTGGTATAGGAAACGCATATAATGTTAATTATGCATGTACAACGAACGCGTGTTCTGTATTCGCGATCTGTGGAATTTCGATGGGATTTTACTTGTTGGGTATATCTATCACACGCATCGAAAAATGAGCGGAGATATCCTGCCTTGATTTTTGAGAAAAGGTCAAAAACAAATAATGAAACATGCTATTTTGTTATGTAGATTTTTAACCTCTACAAAATTTCCATTGGACTAGTGTATCACACCCAACGTTTTGACTTTCATTTAAATAATTACCATAGTAGGTTATAGTAGGCTATGTACCAACTGAGCCAGATTGTACAAGTTCCTAGAATCACATTTAGGGCAACAATTGTACCAGGAAGAACTGTGGCATAAACCTATAAACCACACCGTACTTAGCAGCAATAAGACCAATGGTAACGTATGGAGCTGTTGGCTGGTGAACGAAAACCATGCAGGTCGAGCAGCGTGCTAACGCTGCCGAATCTGTGCATCACTGGAGCTATAGACACAACTCCCTCTGCAGCGCTGGAGGTCCTTCTGAATACAGATATATATTACTGCACAGGGAGGTAAAGGCAGATAAAGTACTGGGCTGGTTATGGACAACACCTAAGTACGGCTTTCCTAAATGAATCAAATCTCAACAACACAAATCTGGAAAAATGACCCAATAAGGGCAGAAATAATTTGGCACATACAAGACTTAAAAACTCAAAAAGGAGTAGGGTCGGGACTATATGAACCCAGGATATAGCTTTTTTCCATTCTCCATTAACTCCCAATACTTGAGATTGAGATTGTTTATGCAGAGTCAAAGTTTTCAATGTTTCCTATCAGATTATGATCTACTTTGAGGAATTGTATTTCTTCATAAATACCAAGTTGCAGCCTCTGCTGTGTTATCAAAATGTTGAAATTGGGTTGTTGCATTAATTTCAATTGACTTTTTGCTAACTAGGCATTACTATTTATCAAAAATTTTATCAGCCAAGCACAGTTTGAATAGTTGTTGTCACATACTTGAGATGAGCTGCCATCTTCCTCTCACGAGGTATATGTAAATGCGGCATTATGGGATTATTCCTTAAAAAATCTGCCGCATCTAGCTTTTTTAATAATAATAATAAAAATATTTATTGCTAAAAATTCCATTTACATAAAAAAATCATTTTACAGTAAAGGGGACAAATTCTGCCCGTGCATAGGTTAGCTCTAAAATAACTTACAACTACTTACCTGCGTACTATTCTTTATGAGTTGCACCTCGCCGATTATACACAATATATTAATCTTTTTTATAATGTTACAAATTGGACAAGAGTTATAGACATTTATCATTTTGTTTTTACATTTTATTTTTTGTCTACATTGAGATTTTTAAGTTCATTAGGTAATTCATTAAAACAATTTACTGCATACTACGCAGATCTTCTTTATCGAATACCCATTTGGTATCGTGGTAAAATAATACTTTTATTAAGAGTGTTTATTTTATTTTGTATATATTCGTTTTTTAGTTCACTATATTGATACACTATAGAATTCACCACAAACGCTTGGTTGATACTCAGTGGTTCCTTTACTCCAATAATTTTAAGAATACCCTTCTGATCCAACGATTCAAACGATGAACTGTAAAGACCTCCTCAGCCTATGACTGCATACACAGCAACACTATTGAAAAACACCATAATTGATTTTTAATATTATTATTTCATTTGCTATAAAAAAATATACTAAGTATTTGTAATCCATTTTATATTATAGTCATAAGATATTTACTGCTGGTAACTCTTTTCGGACTTACACCGTTAATCTTCATTTGAAAATTCTGTGGAACAGAATTTCTATTGTTTATAAAAGGGACAAAAACAGACTTGTCTTTGTTGAGTACTAGTTTGTTTTGATAGAGCCAGGAGTATATAATATCCAGAGTTGATTGGCACTGCAGTATATATCCACATCTACTATTAAGGTATCTTGCAAACCCAATAAATCATTTAAATATAAGATGAACAATATTGGTCCAAGTATTGAGCCCTGTGGTACTGCAATATTTGTTTTAACTTGCTGACTTTTAATGCCATTTACCCTTTCAACTTGCTATCAAGGTCAAACTTACACCCCTTATTCCCAGATTCTGCAATTTGGACAATATTGTAACGTGATTAACTGTATGAAAAGCCCTTGTATGGTCTAAAAAAGTCACAACAAGTATAGCTATAGCATCAGTTGTACCTTTGTTCTTGAGGAAACGAAATTCTCTTAAAATTAATATGTTGTGTTTATTAAAAAGGCTGAATAACCTAACAAAAATGTTTTTTTCAAAAATCTTAGCACGATTTGAAATCACTGCAATTGGACGATAGTCTACCAAATTTCTTTGAACTTGGTTATGAAATGGACAAATTATAGCTGAATCGTACCTGCAACCTTGTTTTTAAGTCCATTAATAGTTTAATAAACTTCGTCCCATTTGTTGGTATTAGAAACATTGTATTCGGATTATATGGTGTATCTGGTATTTGATGGTGTCTTATTGGAGTCGCTCTTTCATTCAGTTTAGATTTCACTGTGCTAAAAACTCGTTAAAATAGTTTGCCTTTTCAAGATCATTGTCATTCGGATTTCCATTTATCAATATATTTTATTTGTCTATTTTTTGTGCCACAATCTAATTCAATATTTACATTTTTTAATGTCCCATATTGAAATTGTCTAGCTTCATACCAATCTTTAGCAGCCCTCAGCAAGGACTGAAGTTTTTTTTCGTATTGTTCGTATTGCACCTTTTTAACCAAATCATCTTGACTGTTTTCCAGGCTTTATATAATTTGTTTTTATTATTAACTAAATTAATTAGAGCAGAATTATTTTTTGATTTTTAAATTTAGGCCCAATTTTAAGTGATAGCTTATAGATATTTTACATTTTCTTTAATAAAATCTCTAAGGCTTCTTCTTCTTCCAAATTCCAGAATTTGTTTCATTTATTTCAGATATTCCTTGAAGTTTGCATTTTATATTACTCCCATGAACCGAAACTAACTAATTTGAGATTGAATCAAATATTTTACCTGACTTAACTATTTTAGTTCCCCTCATGAAAATATGATCAATGCAGGATCCATCATCACAATTCCTAATGTATATGTATATGTACACGTATTCATTATAGATTCAATACAATTATGGAATAGGTAGTAGAAGTATTCCTCAATTTTATCATAATATCCAAGTAGACATCCCCCATTGTTATTAGATTTGTAACGCCTTTGTTGTTTAGTATGAACTTTTCATGATCATGGCAAATAATATTATTCATTCATTGAAAAATTATAATTGTGGCCACTTATTAATATTCTTTAAAATAAATACAACAATTGAAACTCTCTTTTAGAAACGCTTCACCAATTATTAAAGAAATGGTATCGAGTGTAAAGCAAATAAACCAATTATAAATTAAAATACAAAACATAAATATCGTTGGGATCGTTTATCCACTCTATATTGTAAGAGAAATTTTGTTCTCGAAGAAATAAGAAAAGTAGTTCAAAACTAATATTCATCACTATACACAAAAGTGTGATTGTTCGTACAATTCAAGATAAGAATTGTTTATGTTAAAAATAATATATTTTTTGTTTCTTTTCTATAGCATTTAATGTTTTTAAAATATAAATAATATATAAAAAATTATAAAAAATAACTTCGGCACTAGTGAACTAAATTAGTGCGTCATGGCGCTCCGTTGCAGGCAGATATACGAAGTCATTAACAGGCTATATTCTTTCGGTGCCACACAAGCTGACGCCGGAGGGTCAATTTTCAACCTTTCGAATACCGCATTTTTACGAATACGATCGCGACAGCTTCACCAAGCGAAAGAAACGAGATTTGTCAGATCCTAACGTCGTTCACTACGGTATTAACATGAACGATCGCCTCCATCACATCGAACTGTGGCCCAACTCCAACTTTCTGCATCCCAATGTCGTCATCGAGGATAGAGATCCTACATTAGCTATTAAAGATAGAAAGGTGAGAGGATTGGATGGGAAAAAGTTATGCCATTTTACTGGCAGAGTAAGGGGACAGCCAGGGTCGAAAGTGGCATTGTCTACTTGTGACGGTTTGGTAGGGTACTGATTATGAAACTTATCACTACTAAACCGTTCTTTGCTTCTCTAGGTTGGTTACGTGACTGTCGACAACAGAAGGTACTATATAGAACCCGTTGCTGAACACGAACCAAACTCAGAAGGTCACCATTTACACGTAATGTACCAACATCACCCAGGCGACCAAAAGATTCGGAAATGTGGTACGAGAGGAATGTGGGAGGAGGCCATGAAAAGAAGGTTCCGCGATAAGGTACAGGCGGGTGGAGAGTTGAACGTGGCTAAAAGAGGTACTGCTAGCGTCCAGCGGTACCCAGAGCTCACCGTCGTCTGCGACAAGAAGTTTCTGACCTACCACAAAGAGAGGGATGTCGAAGCTTACGTTATGACCATTATGAATATGGTATACCAAATATTAAAACATTTCGATGCCTAACGGTGATATATGTAGGTGTCAGACTATTACCACGACGCATCAAGCGGCAACCAGATAGATATAGCGGTAGTTAGGATCATCTATTTGCAAAAAGAAGAGGAAGAGATCGACCTCACCATCAACAGAGATGCGGAGAAAACACTGGATAGTTTTTGCAACTGGACTCAGAAAATTAATCTACCCGTAGAAAGCCCCCAACACCATGACATTGCCCTGCTCTTGACCCGGTTAGTACCACTAGGGGTGCCATAATTGACTTTGGTGTGTTAAGTGTGTAATGGAAATGGAAACATCACCTCCCATTTTTACATAGAACAGATACGATTTGTGTGCGGAGGGCGAGAGCGAGTGCGGACTGACCGGTCTTGCTTATATAGCCGGTGGCTGTACCGAGGATCAGCAGTGCGCCATCAACGAGGATTGCGGCCTCGTACTGGCCGTCATCGTAGCCCACGAGATTGGCCATTTGTAAGTTAAAATTTCTTATTGGAGTCATTAAATTAAATTATTTATGAAAGGATAGCATCAAAATATATTGTTGTGAACCAATGGCGTTTGTAGGTACATTCTGTTACAAATAAAACGATCCACTATACGATCTGGAAACCCAAGGGAGATACGAAAAAAAGTTCGGTACAAAAGTTTTTGGACTCTTCTGAAGACTTAAAATATTATAATTTTGTTGATTCATAGTGTCCCAAAAGTGTCCGCCCCCGACATCAACTTTGTTATTTTAAATAGAACACTCAATATATTTCGACATTTTTGGAATCCTCGCTAAAAAAAATCTTATTCAAATTTTGCATAGTTTAAGCACAAATTGAGGTTATGTTTTTTTTTTTCATATTTTGATTGCCCGATATAAAATTGGGTTGTGACACTACTGATTCGGGTATTGCAACGAAAATTTTGAACACACTCAAGAGATGATGCACTACTCACTCAGTTTGACAGATGCGCCTTAGCTTATCCAGGGCGTCCCAAATAGGTGATGCCGGTTTGGTGAACTCAATTAACAAAATCTCAACATTTTCAAATGGAACACCCTACATTTTTATACAGTAATCAATTCTAGGACAAAAAATAGGGTAAGCTTGTAATTTATCTTATGTTTTAAGTCTACTTACTTTTTGAGATGTTAAGGTGATACTACTTCTTTTAAAGATACATTAGTCCAGATATATGAATAAAACATATTGCTATTAATACGTGGGAATTTTGAAAAAAATCGACTGTATACTACACACATTAACAGATTTAATAAAACTTCAGAATTCATATTTAAAGAAACATTCAATAACTTATTATATAGCTTGATTGAAAATACTTAATAACAAAAAATAATTATTAAAGTTTATAGGCTAACTAAACAAGGTAACAAATTTGAATCTATAAAACAAAAAGTTAACTATAAACTATCAAGAGTTGGTTGGTCCATAAAGTTTTGTTAAAAATGTTCCCCTTAAAATGTAAGTATAAAAAAACTTTGAAAGTTCTTTTTGTTTTTGTTGTTTTTCATATTTCTATTTAAAAAGTTCATAGCTGTCAAGTTTTTTGTTAGTATATATTTTATTTGTATTTTAAATAAGTTATGGTTTTTTGGTTACAATGCCGAGGTAGTCTACCTGACCAATGGTAAAATTGCAGCCTTAGCATTAAGGGGGTATCAAGAGAAGTTTCCGGCGGCCAAAATACCAACAAAAACAATATTTAATGGACCTGTCAAATCATGGCATTCAAAAATATAAAAAAGGGAGAGACCGAGCACCTTTTTATCAGAACAAATTGAATTGAACGTAATATTATATTTCCTGGAATTTCCCGAAAATTCTTTACGAGATGTAAGCAGAGATGTTGACTTAACTATTTCAGCTGTACGGCGTATTTTAAAAGGCAACAAGATAAAACCTTATAAATAAAATAAATGATTTTGGACGAACATTTCTAGAGGGACATTTTTAACAGAAGATTATGGACCGATAAGGCGATTTTTACGATGTCTGGCATGCAGATTAAAAAAAATTGCAACTATTATTCAACAGAGAATAAGTTTTTAATTAAAAAAAATTAATAAACAGGGCCATCGGAGTGTTAAAGTCTGCTGCGGTATTATAAGGGATAGAATTATTAACCCCATTTTTTAAAAAAAAAAACTATTTAAACCGATATAAATAATGCCAGAAGTAAACAACCTGTCCTACAAGCTAGCTCGCTCTGTCATTGTGGTGACATTGCGTGGCCACCGCGTAGTCCCAATTTTACACCCATGGACTTTATTTTGTAGGGTACTTTAAAGGATCGTGTGTATAAATGGTGAAATATATTTACAAGTTATGACGTTCAGGAAAAAATTAGACAAGATATTCTTGCATTAAATAAGAGCAAAGCAGTTAGAAATGTGGTCTCCATCATTATGACTTGCTATACTATGTGTATTGCAGAGGATGGACAATATATTGAAAATGTTTATTTATTTTTTAGTTATTTGTTTATGTTCTTTTTTGTAGATTTATTTATTCAAATTTGTTACCTTGTTTAGTTAGCCTATAAACTTTATTTATTTTGGTTACTAGGTATTTTCAATCCAGCTAGATAATTAACTATTAAATGTTTCTTTAAATATGAAGTCTGAAGTTTAATTCAATCTGTTAAAGTGTGTAGTATGGAGTCGATTTTTTTTATATCTGGAGTATTATATCTTTAAAAGAAATAGTATCATCTAAGAAATACCTAATATTACCAACAAGTGATGTGGGCAGCTTTAGATTTCATTGCAATACCTAAATCAGGAGTGTCACAACACAATTTTATATGGGGTAATGAAAATATGAAAAAAAAACACTTAACCTCAATTTCTGCCTAAACTATGCAAAATTTGAATAGGAATTTCTTAACCAAGAATTCCAAAAGTGTCGAAATATATAGCGTATTCCATTTAAAATAACAAAATTGAAGAGGATTGTTTTGGGACACCCTGTATCAACAAAATTATAATATTTTAAATCTTAAGTAGAGTCCAAGAAACTTTCGTACCAAATTTTTTTGGTATCCCCTACGGGCTTCCAGATCTTTTTATTTGGAACACGGTGTTACACAGTTTGCTTCACTTTGCTATCAAATAATAATCCTGACAATTTTCATTATTATCACCTATTTAAACATAATTCGTTTATTTCTGCTCTACTAAACCCGCAAATACAAAAAATATGATTTATAGTATTATGTTAATCCCCTTTAAACTACGATTCTTTGATATATTATGAATTAACTTCAGTGTTCTTAAATAATAAAAAATAATTCAATGGTTTATTTGATATTTCAAAGTTCTTTCAGAAACCTAACGCGTTCACACTGCACTTAACACAAATATAAACAAAATCAAACTACTGGCAATCTATGAATATATGGAAAACTTAACGCTAATGAGGATGATAAAAAGAACAAGAACAGAGAACATCATCTTCTAAAATGCCTCTATCTATTTTTTCAACACCCTGTATTAAATATGGCATTTGGTGCAAATGTGAAAATACAGGTTTTATATTATTTTAAAGCTACAATCCAAACTGTAACTATGCCTGTTTTTTGGTCTATATTATTAATGATTAACTTTTATATAATTAAAATGGTTGGAGTCTCTTCAATAAGTTGTATAATTTAAAGACTTTATAGAACAGTGGTTTTTACATTTTAATTATATATATATATATATATATATATATATATATATATATATATATATATATATATATATATATATATATATATATATATATATATATATATATATATATATATATAAGCTCAAAAAGCATTTCAGGTCGAGAAATAGTACTAGAATATAATATGGGCAAGATTGGGAGTCTTCGGAACGGCCCTGATCGATCCGGACTCAGTGCACGGTATTGTGCTAAAGGAGTTGCTGACCTTCTACAGGAAGGGCGGCATTCTGGACGCCCTCTAGAGCGGCCTGGGGGCACAACGGGCCCATCTGGTGGCCTAAGTGCTTGGACGCCCGCGAGGGCGCCCCCCTTTAATACCAATCCCAATACCAATAGTACTAGAATATTGGCAAAAAAAAATAAAAGGAATATTGAATTTAGTTTTCAATTTCTACAAAGCATTAAATTAAAAAGAAAGAAAGATGGAAGAAAGGGTAGTATTGCCTGAAGGCTCGTTAAGGTGCACAATTGAAGCAGAAGTCGTCTGTGAGGAGAATTTCATTGTAAATTCAGCCAACAAAAAATTCCTTAGAAGCCTATTGTTTGGATCATAGCAGACCTACTATGTTATAGGAGAAGATGGTTAGATGGTAAATCTGACAAGCTACTCCCTATAAGCCTAATGGAAGAAGATGAAAAAACAAATTTTGCCAAGAAGGGAAGGAAATGGACACATGTGTAATACCAAAGTGACTTCTTATACATAGTACTTTCCATCTGGTGATGGTAACTAAACCAAAGACAACGAACTAATCAAAGGGATGAAAGGGATAAAGGAAAAGAAGAAATCACCATAGATTCTTTGGGCCGAAGTTATAGTGTGAAATCTAGCTCTTGAAATTCTAATTTTTATTTTATTCCTCTTCGCACAGTAGCACAAGTTTCTATTCAGGTTGGGTAGCAGCCACGACGAAGAAGAGACCGACTGCGCTGTTCAAGACACCGACGAGTCGTACTACGTAATGTCCCCATATGTAAACCTATTCACGATCCGTTGGTCCCCATGCAGCAAGTCCATGATGAAAGCCTTTTTCGAGTAATAAATTGGTCATGTCTGGGAATCTAGCTAACATTTGTTTCCTAGCAACGATCTCGGCGAATGCTTCAACGACTTACCCACCTCCACCCTCTACCCGTTCAGTAAAACTTTACCGGGAGTCGTCTACGATGCAACGGAGCAATGCAAATTCAATTTTCCCGGATCCAAGTTGTGTTCCGGAATGAAAGACAGGGTCTGCGAGCAATTGGTTTGCGCCGTGGGCAAAAAAAAGTGCCTGAGTAAGAACGAACCAGCAGCAGACGGAACCAAATGCGGAGAAAATAAGGTCGGAGTAAGATGTTTGAGAGAATAAAGTTGAATGTTGGTTTCAGTGGTGCTTCAAAAAGAAGTGCGTCGCGATGGGTGAGAGACCGCAGGCAATCCACGGAGGATGGGGCGAATGGGGCGCTTGGACAGACTGTACCAGGACCTGCGGCGGAGGAATCACGTACTCGGAAAGAGATTGCGACAATCCGGTGCCGCAGAACAAGGGCCGGTATTGTCTGGGCGAACGCAGGAAAATCAAAATTTGCAACACCACGGTAGCGATTGAGTCGATGGGATAATTCATATGGCTAAAGTTTTGTTTGTAATCAGCCTTGTCCTGACGGTGAACCGACGTTTCGCGAGCAGCAGTGCGCAGCGTACAATAAGAAGCCTTACGAAGAAAAATATCACACTTGGACAGCTCATATTGTGCCAGGTTTGTACCAGTCCATCCATTATAGGTTTGCCTCAAGTTGACATTTGTTTACTGGGAGTTAAATTATTTAAGTATGCACTCGTCAGGGTGCGCAAAGTGTCAAGTCGTCAACCATTTTTTTTCGGTTCTTGTACTTTAGTAGCGGGTATCGGAAAATGTACTCGAAAAGCTAATAAACATAGAAAAAGTATAGTACAAACTACTTTTGGTCACTCTCACTCACACTTACATTCAGAGTCATGAGTAAAGTGGCGTTTATAAAACCTATATGCAATAGGTATTATTGCTTTGATTCATTAGTGCAATTTTTCGATGGTATTGTTCCTTTTTATTTTATGGTTCTTTGATGTTCTGTTGACATACCAAAAGTTCCAGACTTTTGGGATAGAAGGCATAAAGCAGGAAAGAATAAAAAAGAACAAAGAGAATGATTGAAAAATTGAAAAAAGAGAAAGAAAAATTGAAACAATCGAAAACGATTTAATTTCGTATGTGTTATTGATGACGGACCAAAAGAAAAACATAGAATGGAAAATATATTGTGATGAAGGTAGTTCAAAATATGTGACCCGCGTGACAAAATATTATCTGAAAAGCAGTTTAGGATACAAGATACTACATATGTTGACCAACTAAAACGTCAGGTGATTTTATAGAGAAATGTTTCCTAAGCTTTAATTGTAGAGTGTAGGCTATTCACATCTTCTGCTGAACGGTTTTTTATGGTTTAATGGTCTGGGTTGTAAGCAGCTCAACGGATGTGTATTGTATATAGAGGTTGAGAAATTTGTGAAAAGAAATTAAACAGCTCTAATACTTGCGGAAGAAGGTAATAATGAACACAATCACCTGAACAATTGAACAAAGCTGTTGGGTCTTCAAATCTCTAGAAATAAAGATTGGTTTTCCTTATGGGTGGTAGGTAAATAAGAAAGTTTCCTGTCCACTCGTTTCCCAAGCAACAAGTTCCGAGATATTTAAAAAAAAGGCCATACAGTTAGCAGTACAATTGTAAATAATGACCTTAAAGTACAGGCAAAAAATGTTATTCAGTTATGGTATTTTCTTAAACAATTATAATGGACAATTTGTTGATTCAGAGACAATATGAGCTTAATACCTTAGTAGGTAAATTATAGCCATAAATTGAGTGGAAAGAGCTTTTAGGCGTTTAAAAATTAAATTTGGATATTACAAGTATCTGGTTCTGACCCACGCAACGACTACAATGGCAGCACCCTATTGCATTGTTCACAGTTTTATACATTATACTATGATGACGTTGAATTAGAAAACATGAGTGTGGAAATACACAAAAGAAATTTTGAGAAATACAAAAATATAATAGTCATAATTTTTTTGGACTTTCCCAATAGATAGTGGCAACTGTTTGGTTTTCTTCCTCTCCTTTTTTCCCTCACCTTCAAAGGAATGTTTTGAAGGTGATAAAGACTTCTTATGTAGCTTGCTTTTGTTTTTGTAGTTGATCAAACACCAAAAAAACTATTAATCCACTAAATGAACCAGTTTTTTTTATTGTAGCTAATTGTAAATATAAAATAAAGTGTAACCATCCAACACACATAACAAATAAAAGTCCGATTCTAGATAATATATATTTAATACTGCACTAAAAACACTCTGAACTTAACACACTAATACGCACATATCTCTTTGCAATACGTCGAGTTTCGCTTAAGTCACGTTTGCCCAAAGTTTTTAAGGAGCCCCCGTAGAATCCTTAAGGCGGCTCAGCAGCCTTCCGGTGTTGTAAATACGTATCGGTCGCGGGCCTTTATCGGTATTTGTTTAAAATGCGCCTTTCTGCAGCGGTTAATTGCTTGTCCGATGCGTCGCATCCCGTCCAATTGGGCCGTAAATCATAACTTCTTTTTGTTCCCCGCGCCACCGTTTATCAAATATGCATGAAGCGATTTATTTAAATTTAACGCCGTCGATGCCCGCTAGGTGGACTATACGGGGTAGCTCGCTATTCGGGGATTATTTTATATCTCCGTAATAGTTTACTTTATCGAAAAATTTTCAAAGCAAAACTTGTGCATGCGATGAAAATATTATTATACAGAGTATCTCATAGCCATCTCACAGGATCTAATTTCTTTATTTTATAGAACACTCGTTATATCGTTTTATTTTCAATTTAAGTTCAAAGTTTTCCTAGTTAGCACAGACTTTAAAATGGTTTTGGTTTTATCTGTGTTAAACGAGTTAGGAGGACTTAAAGCCTGATTGATTGAGGTATGATGTATTATTTCCAACGCAGGGCCTTTTCATCATTTATAACTGTCAACGCTAACGCTTAACTGTAATGTTTATACATATATAAACGGCAGTTGGCAGTTGAACATTTTCCATCTCAATGTAATAATTGTAATAATCAATAAAGGATATAAAAAATTGGATCACAATAATTGGTTGTATATGACAATATTTTTGTTCAAACATTTCAACCGTGGTGTGCATCTAATTGATCTCTATTTTATGAGTAATAGAATAAACTGCTTGAATAAACGGAGTCTAAAATCTAAGCGCTAAAAATCTGGTGATCTCAATGGTAAGTTCAAGAGCTAAGCAAATAAAACCAAAAATATGTGAATCTTAGTCAAAGTCAATGCAATGCAGAAAAAAAATTGAGCTTTGATTGACTTGATTGATAATACGAAAAAGCAAGAAAATCATTGAAAACTTAATTATATTGCGCATCAGACCTTACAATAATATATAGGGTGTTCTATTTGAGAAAATTTTGGACTCTTTGTAAACGACAAACGAATTTTGAAATGGCGATTTTTGTTTTTCAGTTTGTTATACAAGCGTTTAAGATGGTTAAGCTAACATCTTTCAACATTTTTAAATTAATCTGAAGAAAACTACAATTTTTTTTTCAAAAATCCATAATCGAAATAATATACAGGGTATTTCAGTTATAAAATGGTGAGGTTCGATGCTTTGAGATATAAAGATATAAAATACCTTGTATATTGGCAACTCACATTTAAAGAAAAAACTTTTTTTTTCTATGAAGAAACTGCCTGGAAGGTATATAAGAATCTTATAATAGTGAGGTACCCTGTATACAAGGAGTTAATCAAGTTACGCAGATACGTTTCTTTTTAAAACGCGGACAAATTGAAGATTGCGTCAAGATGGGACGTTGAGTAGGCCCGAGGATAGATTTCAAGAACATTTAGTGCCTGATTTCGCAATCGGTTTTAACGATGTTGTTTATAGAGTTAACTCGAGTCGTTATTACGGAAATTGGTTTAATTCGATAAGTACTCGGCTAATATGCTTATGTATAAACATAACAAATATTGCAAATAACCCTAAATTAGTTTGCGAGGAGAACTAAAGTGTAGATATTTAAAAAATTGTATTTTTTTTTTGTTCGAATACCATCGATTTCTTTAATTATTTTTACCTATTTTTACCTATTTCCTATAGGCTTTAATTGTTTCATAGTAACATAAGTTTTAAAAAACACTACATCGAAACCTCCACAAGAAACCAGTACACTTATTCTGCTGTAAGCAAGAGACATATAATCAATTCTTAAAATAAGAAACTTTTTTTGAAGCTGAAAGGCCGAAAAAATGCTTAGCAGTTTGTGCTTGAAATCGGTAGAGCTGAGGAAATTTCAAAACATATTTATCATGCAATGTATATTATTCTATATTTAATTTGAGAAGCTTACTTTTTTTGCAGCTGATTTAGAAAATTGGGTGAATTTCTTCAATTTAATTCTTAGTATTGTGTGCTTGAAGACAAATAGATAAAGATATCAAAAATTTGTTCATTTGTTAAACAAACTTTGTTTCCATGTTGAAATTTCACATGAATAAATATCAAAATACGGTCTTCAGTAGCAATAGACTATTTATTGTTTAGAGAAACTTCAGCAATATAATTTTTTTGTACTTTTTTTTAATACACTACGTTGGCGTTGGTGTTGGCTTCAGTTGAATACCTCTACAAATTCTGAAACTAGGGCCCCACTTTCTCAGGATTCGACGATTGGTTGTATATGAACGGTCAGTGATATTTGTTGTTTCTACCTAGTCCATATTAAATAGATTTTATTTTTTATTGTTATCATTTTCTCATTTCTTTACTTTTACTCCTCATTATGTATCTAAGTATGTTTAATTTTTCGTAAAATTGGTGTGTTGAAACATTCTCTTGTAACTAGACATAATGTCTGTTAGATAATGAATTTTAATATTTTTAATATTATTGAGGTATCATTTCATACAAAAAATGTTTTAATTTTTTTGAGCATTTTGCTGTCGTTATTATAAACGGGCGCGCTTTAGCGGAAATATTAGATATATAGACTTATTTTTAATTACAACTTAGAAAATCTGCTATTAGAAAGACTTAGACTGAAAAAGACTGAAAATTAGTACTGTTAATTGGAATGAGGTGTATGCCCAAGATAACGTAGATACAACCACTGAAATATTTCGACAGATTTTGAAAAGCATTGTGAAAGAGAGTCTCTCTCTCTCTCTCTCTCTCTCTCTTTAGTCCATTTCCCTAAGAAGGGATTAGTGACTATGATGCTCTTGAAACAATGCTTACGGTATTGTGCCATTCCGTTCTATTCTGGGCCATGGCCGATAAGATCCTTGGTTTGGTCTATTAGTAGTTACAGCGAGTCCGTTCTTCTTTCAATATGGCCAATGAATGTTAGAAAGCTTCGATTTATCGTTTTTCACAGATTTAGTAGAGTATTTAGTTCTTGAAGAACGGACTCATTCGTACAGCCGTCTGTACGCCCACATGTCAAAAACATCTATCCGCCTTGCATCGCTCTTCTTGGTCGTCCAGGTGTCAGCTCCATAAGTGGCAATCGGGAACACAAGTGAATTCAACAATCTTAGTTTGGTAATTTTAGTGATGGCTGTATCTCTGCAGATTTTGCTTAACTTAGTTAGTGCTAGTGCAATTCTAGTGCAATTCTTCGCTTTATTTCACCTTCACATGCAGCGCTATTGTCAATTAAAAATCCCAGGTACAGACACTTATTCACCACCTTGAATCCAGCTATGTTTTTTACGTGGGGTTGGTTGTGGTTTTGCCGGTCTACAATCATGACAATACTTTTGTAGAGTTTTAATTTCAATCCAATTTCTGCATTAGTTTCTTGGAGACAGTGCATAATAAATTCCATTTCTTCTACACTAGATGTTATAATTAGTGTGTGGTCGGCATATCTCAGATTGTTGATTTTCCTTCCCCCTACAGTTTTACCACCCTGAATGTTATCCAGAATGTCGCGCATTCTGTATTTGGTGTATATGTTGGACAGTAAGGGCGAGAGAACACATCCCTGTCTGTGACATCGTTGATTCTTATCAGACCGTAATTGTGTTCATATAGTTCTCGAATAAATATTATTAAGTGGTCAATGACCCCCATTTCTTTGAGTATTTGCCACAATTTTGGCCATTTTTCCAAGTCTAAGTTAAATTCTCTGGCTTTCTCAATTAGTTGTAGTACATTTCCTATTTGTTCTCTTGTACCCTTCCCCAGCATAAAGCCGGTTTGTTCTTCTGCAATCTGTAGGAGGATTTTACATGCATTTGGTATTAATGCAATCATGCGGTAGTTATTGCAGTCTGCTGGATTACCCTTTTTATACAGTGGCATATAAAGTGTGCCGCACCATTCGTCTGGCCAAGCTCCTGTCTTCCAAACTCGATTACATATAAAGTGTAAAACATCAATTGCTGGCTGCTGGGTGAACGAGAGTACCCAACAAAAAAAATTACTTTACAAAAAATGCAGAATAATAGCCAGAACACAATATTAATTGTTGAATTTAAACTACACCAAAATAAATTAACCGATTTGTTAAAACAATTGCACAAAGTATGGAATTGCTTTAAATCCGTAGCAAACACAAATCATAAGTTAAATACAAGAACTATAAAACATAATAAAAAATCTGATAATAGTACGATTCAGGACAATCAAGAAATGGCAAACTACTTTTATGATTACTTTTGTAATATCGGCAAAAGTCTGGCTGAAAACATTAAAATGGTTGCCGAATCTCAATTTGAAGAAGCTGTTATTGACAAAATAATTAAGTTTAATCATACAAATATAACTGAAGTAGTAAAAGCAATAAACTTATTAATACCAAGAAAAACGCTGGGGTTAAGATGGTCTAACATCAGAAATTCTAAAAGGAAGTTTAGAATATATCAGAGAAACTCTCACTCACTTAATAAATCAAACTACTGAAAATGGACGTTTTTCAAAATAATTTCAAAAAGTTTAAATCCTTGTCTAACTTATTAGTAATTTATCTATGTTTTTTTTTTAAATTCTAGAACATCTAGAATCTAATAATAATTTATCAGAACACCAATATGATTTCAGCCAGGCAAGCTCGATCGAGGATGCAGTAGCGCACTTTATTTCAACAGTATACAATTCATTAGACAAAAGTTAAAAAATACTGGCTTTTTAGAGCAGATTTAGGATTGACAAACAAATATTCAGGGGGAATTAACATTTCAGAAAAATGGATTATTATTATATTAAAAGGGATAGGTGTTGTCCAACAACACAAATTTTTAACGAATCAGGTATGCTCAATGCAAGACAACTCTTATTTTCAAAAAAAAGCAGTCTTTTTATATAAAATTCCTATTAGAAATTATAAAAGTCTTTAGTCAACCGGAATAGACCGAAACAAGCTACTATCAAACCACAGGTAACTAAAACAGTAGGACAGAGATGTTTTCTTTATGTCTCTGCTACAGTTTCACAAAAAATTGCTTAATGGTAGAACAGTTTAGTTACTTAAAATCAGATAGAAAACATTTATTACCTGAAATAACTAGAGATGAAATCCATAGTATAAGAGATTTGAAGAACAACCAATAATTTCAAATTTATTAATTTGATCCATTTATCCATTACTTGATTATTTCCTAGTTTTTGTATCTACATTTACTCTGTATGCCTACTAGGTTGAAACTAGTAATCTAAGAGATATTATTTATTTACTAGGGGCAAAATCCAGAATTATTAATAGTTTTTCTTTTCTATTTCCAGTATTTTTTCTATCTTTTTGGTTAGTTTAAAAAAATGTCTTCAGGACTAGAATTTGGTATAGTTTTTAGTTGTCCAAGTAGTTTATAGTTTAGCTAATAGTATCTTGAAGAAGCATTCAGTATGCAAGGTTACTCTTGCTGTTGCCCTATGATGGCACACGTTACACAACTTGTTAAGCAATTTTGATAATTCTTGCACATTAATTTTAGAATTCCTATTTATTTTAACATAAACTCGAAATTTTACATTATACGAACAAAGCTGGCAGATAAAGTGCTTTTCCTTTCTATCCACCCTAGCACACTCTCCGTGGCACCACATGCGCTGCATATTTGGCATCGGATCCTCATTTCTTTACTACGAGAGCGTGAGAAAAGTTCATCGCAATATAAAGATCCTCCGTCATATTCTTCATCGTCTTCCATATTAGCAGTGTTGCAGCATTCCTCTACGTCATCTTCACCGTCATTTTTTCGTCAACGATTTTATTTTTGACTTTACTTGCAACATTTTTCTGCTTTTGCCGCTTTTCATCTTCTTTTTGTTTTAACTATTTAATACGCCAGTTTTTCTTCATTGGCGCTTCATTTTATTTTCTGTAGATGTTGCCAGAGAAATCCATTGAGAATCGCCTTTAGCATTTGTTTGGCTTTCAGCTTTTTGGTCGCTTGTTTCACTCGGAGTTTCAGCTAATCTTTCTTCAGGTTTTTGGTCCAAAGGCTGGTCTGTGGTTAGTGATGGTGCAAACATCTAATCCTCAAAAATGTCGGAATTGAATGATATATTCCAATTTTGGAAAAGGCGTCTATGGCGTTTACTGGAGTAGCATATTTTAGAAAGGCATTGTTAAAAAGAGCGAATATATGAAAATCTGTTACCACATGCTTGTAATGATCCCAAAAATCTAACGTCCAAGACCTGAACGGGATGCGTTATGAACAGGAAAGCGAAGTATTGCAATTCCATTTTTTTTCCAAATTCGAGTGGCGGTAAGCTTTTGTGATGGTTATGACCACCTAGAAGCAGGAACACTTTGTTTTCATGAGAATCTTTGGTATAATGTGCAAAATGTTGAAGCCACTTTAGGAAATTTCCTCCTCTAACCCTCATATGTTTTCTGCTTTCAGCACTAGTGAGAATCCCAACCTGCTCAAGGCTTTTAGTAGCAAACACTTTTTGATGTCATTCTTGTAGAGTAATAAGTGCAGATGCATTTATATATATGTTTTCTAGTTTAAAATTATAAACACGCAAGGCGTTTTTTAATGAAGTAAAATACGATAAGATGTTATTTTTGTTAAATGCCTGAGCGCGAGCATTGTCTGTCAAAACACCCCTCATCCATTTCTTTCCAGCCATCGGCTTTTCTCTGTTAAAGTGATGACGTAAGTTGTTCACGTTGCTAATTCGTAAACTAATCTTCTCAGATCATTGGTAATGAAAGCAAAAAATCTCGTTTCTCTTTCTAAAACATGCTTCGCCAACATCTCTTTCATTTCACGCCTACCAAATCTTCTTTTCTTTTTTTGCATTCACTTTCAATTCGGCTCATAATTAGGATTATCTATAATTTCGCTTGCTATGATGACTTCCCACCAAGTAGTACATAGAAACTTTATATAGTGTTACAACCCTGGGAAAAATATTTTTTCCCTTCAGAAAACTCTATAATTAATTAGGCAAAATCTTTATATTTTCAGGTTATCCACTAACGTCTCTCAGCCGCTGAACTTGACTCTAAAAATGAAATGATCAATCAGTAATGACCTACGTCTGTACTTATCAGGCAAGTCATAGCCAAAATTAACCAAATCTAACCAAGGCTAAGGAAAACAATTTAAGGATATAAATTTTCCTAAAAATTCGAAAGCCATGTTCATCGCCAGACCATACGCTTCTTTTCTATTCGCTTAAAAGGGGTGAATGTGAATTTTTAAGTAAAAAAATTATAACGATGTTGTTTATAAACCTGTGACTTCAATATTTTATACAAAATTATAATAATTCTGATAATGATTTTAAACACTAAACAAAAACGAGAAACATTTCGAAGTTGTTAAATGCAAATTTTGACGATTTGTCTCATTCTCTGAAATATTAGCTAAAATCTATATAGAATTATTATTTGAATTAAAGCATTCTAATAACAGTCTTGTGAAACCCATCACATTTAACTTTCTTCCTTAAAAATGTTATACAATTAAATTTGGTAGACCTTTTGGCAATTCGATTTTGCATGACGTAAAGATTATAATAAAATCAATCATTATAAAAATCAAATATTATAATAAAATCAATAAAATCAATCAAAATGAAAAACAATTTCCCAACATACATGTTGTATATCTTTAAAAAAAGTTGGATATGAAAAAATACGACTTGCAAAATTTGTTAGTGTCATTTTATTCCAATCAGCAAAGTCCTTTAACAGTATAAATAACTGTTTTGTAAGCTGAATCGAAAACGTCCTGTCCCAAACGGATAAGGAATATCCTTGATCTCGGTTTTTGCTTCGGTTCTTCTCTCTTTCATAACGGATTATCTTGATTGTAGACAAACCCTGCGTACTATATTGCATCAATGAGGAGAACGTATTCGTCAAAATGGAACCAGTGGTGAAAGACGGTACCAGATGTAAACCGGGCACCAAAAACATGTGCATCTCGGGAGCCTGCAGAGTAAACCATGTTTCCGAAACCATTTCGAATGCGAAATTTGATTAAAAATTATTTGGTGCAGACGATCGGATGCGACAACGAGCTGGGATCCGACGCTGTGCAAGACATCTGCGGCGTGTGCAATGGCGACGGTACCCAGTGCAAAATCGTCGAAGACACTTATAGAGACTCTGGCGGAAGCGGTATTGGTGATATGGACGTTTTTATTATATGCCCATAACGAAATTATTTATTAAGATTACACTAAAGTGGCAGTCATACCTTCCGGCAGTAGGAATTTGGTTATAGAAGAGCTTGCGTCCTCGGTGAATACTATAGCAATCAGTGACAGCTCGCAAAAGAAATTTTACCTCAATGGAGATAAGTAGGTAGCTCGTATAACGTTTCGATTTTTATTGTCCAATTTAGTTGAAGGTGCAAAATTTTTAATTTTTATTTCAATCAAAAGTTCTTAATAAGATTTGATACATTATGGTGTCCTGCACACAAACTTCCAAATTATAGCCTTCGATTTTAATTTAAGATATTTGTTTCTCCATGTTACTGAAATCTGATTCATCACACCATCTGAATACAGTATAGTCCACTGACGGTGTGGACAAGAAGACCTGCCCATAAAAGTGAAAGATACGAAAAATATAAAATTTTTTTGAAGAGTAAATTGTTGACAGTTTAAACAATGACAGATGCCAATGTTTTAAATTTCAAAATACATTACATTTTAAAGAGAACATTTTATTTGATTGTACCTTAAATAATTATGATGTATTTGTCAAAATAAGTTTTGGACATATTTTTGTGCAACCTGAATGAGCCTGTTATTTTTGACAAATACGTCGTTGGTAATCATGGAGAAATGTTTTTTTTTTTAAATCGAAGATTTATAATTTAGATTTTTTCCTGAAAATTTGTAACGTATTTTGAAATTTAAAAGGACATTCGTATTTAACATTTTGTCTTTAATCTGTAACCAAAAGAACTTTACTCATTAGTAAATTTTACATTTTCGTATTCTGTACAAACTTCAAGCATTGCGAACCGTATTTTGAAAGCAGGCAACAAATTTTGTAAGAAATTACAATATTTTTATTTTTTTGTTCTCTTGTATACTCCCTCCGTGATCATAGTGTTTAGTAAAATTAAGAATTGACCATCACTCTACTATCTAACCTAGTAATATGAATTATACTATTTTTATATGAAAAAAATTTTCTGTAAAGTATATAGACAGCATCAGCAAGTAATTTTTGATGATAGAAATATCATGTTTTAAGTATATATCACAGAAATTGCAACACCGCGAGTAAGCTTTGCTATTTGTTTTCTGTCAAATGCTCACATGAAGTGACGTAAACGATAACATTTTTATCCCGGTTGTCTTGGGGTAGCGGAAACATCGTTTACTAATATGTATTGTTAATTAAGGAACTTGGGAGACGGATAATAGTCGCCTTACGAGATAATGCGAATGCTACAATATCGTCTCAATATACGTCGTAGGCACTGAGGCTTAAAATATAAGGATTAATTACAAAGCACACTCTTAGAGACCGTTTCAGCACAATCAGTGCGGTCGGACATGAATGGAGGAAAGCTAAGCATCAGTAGATGCCCATGAGGCGGATATATACTGCGCCACAGCATCGAGAAGAGCATTTCAAAAAGTCTTTCTCATACCACGTTGTAAATTTGACTGAAACTGTTTGTTTCTTTTGTGGCTAAGAAAATCTTTACTTAGATATTTCATTGTCGTTAAATCTCTCCTACTCCCATTCCAAGCGTTGTCTGTGGATCTGTCTGTCTGTTTGTTTTATGGTCAATTTTGGTTTGTAGCTCTCTTAGACTTATTATTATTATTATCACCATTATTATTATATCATATGCAGCTACATCTACATCTAATGAAAACGGATTGTTTTCCGTGACGAGTCTCTTTTTTTTGACAGAAGGAAGTATGAAACTATCTTGTTGGATTACCAGTATGTGCCACATCTTATACTGAATGTACAACGTCTAGGCCATGGAGTAATATTATCTGGGGATTATCTTAGCACAGACACATAAGAGGCAAAGAATATCAAAACTTTCGTAGAGGCGTGATTGTCATCATCGATTGTGGTTCATATTTATCAAACTATATTTGAAAATATTAAAATTAGATTTTTATTCAATAGGTGATTCCATATACCACGTAGAAAATTCGCCCAAGAAACGTAGTATATCGAAAAATTTTTGTTAATTTGAGAAAATAATCTCACAATACAATAGATTTTTATTTCCGGTACTGATATATTTTAGGTTCTATTCTTTTTCTTGTGTCAAATGCGTTTCACCAATTACTTTCATGTGCACTCACTTTAGAGTTTAATTGTTTTACTGCATAGTGTACTGTAATTGGTGGATACTGTTGGGTAATAAAATCCCTTATTATTATTACTAATATAACCATAATTTTGTTCTTCTTATCATTTATAAACTAAAAACTAAAACTGAAACTAATTTAAAAACATCACCGTTTCTACACGCTGGGTCAATTCAGTACCTATTTTGTAAATACCCAATGAAGTAAGGATTATCATTCCTAATTCAGTAATCTTGTATCTTACATCATCCTTATTGTCTAAGTCGGGAAGAGCTCGACGGAGAGTACCGATTCGGGAAATCTTTAGGCATCTACAGTCACCCGGAACCAGGTAAAGAAAAGCTGGTCATACACGGACCGCTGAGCGAAGACCTGGTGTTCTTCGTAAGAAGATGATGCAGCCCATATCGACAAACTCACCAGGATAATTTCAGGTGTGCTTCTACGAAGCTCAAAATGTCGGCTACAGTTATAAATATGCGGAGCCCACTGTAGACTCGAGCTACGAGCCCCACTACCATTGGGAGGTGGCGGAATTCAGCGACTGCAGCGCTCTGTGCGGCGGAGGCACGAAGCGGGCAGCCTACAATTGCGTGGAGGACAAGGCGGGAAAAGTGAGCGGCAATTTTTGCGTCGGAGTTGACAAACCTCCGGAAACTGTCATGAACTGCAACGAAGAACCCTGCAAGAAGAGGTAATGGTATATTTCGATTGATTATGGCAGTACATTTTCCCTCCCTCTCCAGGAAGTAAAGTGTTTTTTTATTGCATTTCTTCTTTCTCCCGAAATCTTCTTTGGGATTATTTACGGAGTCCCTTGGTGGAGTGTACTGCACCGTTTTGTTAATTACAAGTTTTCTCGTGTAGCGCGTCTAGGTTAGTGTTCCACTGCCGTTTTCTACATTGCTTCTTGCAATGATCGACTACATGATTCAAAATTCTCAACGAAGTTCGACGAAGGACCATATGGGTTCCAAGAAAAACAGCGCATTTTATACAATTTTTTCCATCCTGCTGCTGGTGGCGAAAGTGGGTTGATATATTTAATCAGTTTTCACTCCATAAAAACAATCGATTTTACTCTACTCTATACATGCTCTGATTTTTGCACAATTATTAAACTGGCATATTGGTACAAACCTGTGACATTTCCACAGACCATCTTCAGCTTGGCCCAGTCACAAAGATTATTTAATCTTACCGTTTGGAAAGTAAACTAGTATCGGTTATTCCAAAGGCAACCTGATTGTTTACAGTACAAGAACTATATATAAAGATGATTTTTTCCTTTTTCTACTTCAGACAGTTATTTCCTGGATGTTTGGCTATGTTACTACTCTACAGTTTTTGAATATCGGCTGCTCTTATAATAATCAACTGAAATCTTTTACTATCCTTAATTAGCTAAATAAATAAACAAACAAAAGAATTTGCCAATTTTTGAGTGAACTCAAATCCCATTTTCAAAATTTTTAATAGTCAAGTTCAGGTGCTTGTTCAGAATACCAATGCAAAAATATAAGTAAGGTTTATTACTTATTACCCTGTAGCTTGTTATCTTAAAAGACTTCAGTCAGAATTTATTTTTAAAAAAAATCTCTACCCTCCAGCCTGTACGTCTCAGTCTCAACAACAGAACAAAATTCCTTAACAAAAAGTTCTTCTTCTTCTTTTCCTATATTAGGCACTTCTCCTTGTTTTACGTCAATGTAATTTTTTTCACAAATCGCAAAGATCGAACGACATCTGTTTCGTGGCCGTCCAATACTCCTACGACCGACAGGCTCTTGCTATCCTCACTATCCGTTGTTCAAATATCCTATCTATATGTTGATTCCATTCGTGTTTTCTCTTTCTTATCCAGGTGTTAATACTTTCAATTCCACATTTGTGTTTATGTTTTCATTTGTTTCTCTATCCCAGAGTTTTTCCTACTCTTTTCCTTAATGTTTTCATTTCATTTGTTTCCAGGCATTTCTGAGTCTTAGATGTCAGCGGTATATGTTATGACTGATTGGACTACAGATTTATATATGCGGGATTTTGTTTCGATTCTTAAGTATTCCATATCGTGTCGTTTAGGCATCCTGCTATTTTATTGGCTTTTGCTGTTTGTTCTCTAATGTCTATGTTATTATCATTTGATGATATAATTCCTAAATATTTGATGTTTTATGGCCTTTTTGTGTTTTCACTTCTCTAATTATTTCGTCTAATATAATGTTCAATAATAATGGGCTTAGTCAGTCTACTTGCCTAATACTTGTATCTGTGTCAGGTCCCCACATGAAAAAACCGGTATTTTCTTTTTTTTGGGGCAGGGTGGGGAAGTCGGGGGGCTCTATCTCGGAAACGGTAGGACCTGGGAGGTTAGAGTTTTCACCATCTGTTTCAGAAAAAATCCTTGAGGAGGAGGCCACCTAAAAAAAAACACTTTTGAGGAGGTCGTCATTTTGAGGTTTTTCGAGTGTTCCGGAGTTATTTGAGGTCGGATCGGGGCGCGGAGGGTATATTCGTGTAGAGGGGCCCGAGGCGCACCGGAACCAAAAAAAGGACATCCCTCAAAATTGAGGAGGTTTTGAGGTTCGGGAGGATCTCGTCTCCTATGGGACGGATCGAAAAACTGAGTACCTACGTCGACGCGCCTATACTCAGACATCATTCCGAAGGCCCATATGCTATATCTTGCCTATGCTTTTTTTTGAGGGCGCCTCCTCAAAGTTCAAAAAGTTTGATAAAGGTCGAATCGGTTCGATCTCGGCATAGGGGGGTTTTTCGGGCCGGAAACACCGAATCCACCTTCAAAAATCACCTACCTGATCCATGGGCTTAGTTTCTCTTGTATATATTTTCGATTAGTTTTATTATATAAAATGGGATATTTCTGTTATTTATCTATGTATTTGTGTTATGTATGTATCACGTCTTGTAGCTGCAGCTATCAAAGACTTTTTCTAAATCTGTGAAGCATAAGAACGCTGGCCTATTGCACTCAATTGATTTTTCTACAATTGTCTAATTACAAATACTTACAAGATCTTCCACTTCTGAAACCTTGTTGTTCTTCAAAGACTTTTACAAGTGGAGTTATTTTGTTGGTAATAATTTTAGTTGTCAGTTTCAGAGTCGTGCATAGGAGGTTAATTCCTAGATAGTGATTTGGATCAGTTTTCTCCTCGTTTTTGAAACGTGGTATCATTATGCTTATCCTTCAGTCTTCCGGTATTTGTGATCTTCGTATTAACTTATTACTTTCGAAAAATCGATGAAATCGAATTTAAATTTGCCGAGGAAGTAAAAATCCGCACAGACAATCATTATCATGTATCACCAAATATTTTTTTAAAAATTTTGAAAAATTTTCTTTGAATATTTTGGCTTCCAGATAAACATGATTTTCTCAAAAACGATTCAACCGATCAGCAAAATTTTACAACCAATAAATGCGGGAGATCCGGGGCTATGACACTTATTTCGAACATTTTTTCGATTGTATACAGGGTTTTTCAATTATGGACGAAAATCTAAAAGACGATAAAAATCACCCACATCGAGAGCTACAATTTTGGTATTTACGGTTTTCGTCTATCACATACGCTGTTCTAGATATTAAAAAAAAAAAAAACAAATGAAAATCAAAATTTCTCGCCCTCAATCGAGACGTGATGACGTCATTGATTATTACGGCGTACTGTATGGTTTCAGAAAACAAGTATTTTCTTGAAAATCACTAACCCTATTGGAAAAAATCATACTCCAGGAAACATGGAAATCCAGGGCCATCCTCCTATTTCGAACATTGTTTAAATTATATACAGGGTGTGTCGATTATTGGCAGAAAATATAAATCTAAATATTTTTGTGGTTAAATTATTGGCGATAAATGAAAAACTGCTAAAGATGGGATAATTCGATTTGAACAGTATCGTAAACTATGTCGAGAGAGAGTTTTAGGTTTCGTCAATTACACAGGGCGCAAAATATCATTCGACAACGCTATTAATTGTACCAAATTTTAATATTTACCGAAGTTTGCCGTAACATTCAAGTTCGACGAGGGTGCATGCACAATTAAATTACATCGATTTTGCGAAAGTTCCATTGTGGCCTGCAGGAGCACGATAGAAAAACAATGCGTCCCTTTACCACACGAAACCGCGAAGTTCTTTTCTTTTATAATAAAAGCTGCTTCGCGCTACGCGCTACAAACTAATTAGCTTGGGACCTCCGTAGTTCAATAATTCATTCTATATTCCATCTTTGCCAGCCGATTTTTGTTTTTTAATTTCTAAAGTGTTTCTTCCACTTCTTTACTATTTATTTCGAGTATTTCATCTGTTACTATTTCGGGTTTCTGATGTTAAATTCTCCGTTGTATTGTTTTAAGTGGTTTGTCCATGTCTCTTTTTCGATATACGTTACCTCTATCAATTCTTTCGTTTCTTGTAGCTCTCCTAGTATCATTCTCATTTTTCACACTGTAAAAGTCGTGTTCCATATCTTTTGAGAATTTTTCCCAATGTTTTGTTTTCTTTTTCCTTACCAGTGTGTTTATTTCATTGCGAATTCTTTTATATTCCTCACAGTCGCCTCCTGTGTTTGTAGGCTTATATTTGGGATAGGCTCTAATTTTCTGTTGGCATTTTAGTTTTACTTCATCACAAAACCAAGGTGTATTTTTTATTCTTTTTGATGTTCTGTCGGTTTTACGTTCACCAAGCGCTTCTTTTGCTGCGTTTTTGAAATTTTCTCCAATCTTTCTACAGCTATTTTCTATATCTTCTTCTTCAATTACTAAGTTTTCGTTTATTTTGCTTTTCAATCTTGTTTGATAGATATTTTTTATTAATTCATCCTGTAGTTTTTCTACTTCAGTCTTTGTTCCCCAAACTTTTATGTTAGTTTTTTTGATGTTTGTTTATTTTCATTTTTATTTTCCCTAAAACAAGATTGTGGTCACTTCCTACGTTAGCAGAACATAAACATCTTATATCTAGTATTTGTGTGTAATGTATTTCCCTATTTGTTAAGATATAGTCTAGCATTGATCCATGGAAAATTTCAAATGAGAGATACCTTGGTGTTGTCTTCAAATAAGATTTTTAATAAAGACAGCAGGTTTCAGCAGGCAGACTTTTAATAGGAAAAATATTTTATTTTGACCATTTATTGTACATTTATTTGTTGCATTTATTTTTTAAAAATTTTTATGATTAAATACTATAATATAGGAATTTGTGCATTTTTATAGTTTTTTTAAAATCCCATGTTTTCATTAGGGATGGAAACTTTTGTCCATAATAACCTGATAGATAAGATAGATAGGCGTTTTTCCCTTTCAGGTGGAAGGTGGGAAGGTGGGGCCAGTGCAGAGCCTGCAAAGACAAAAGCGGTGTGAGAATGAGAAGTGTGGAATGCATGGAGGAAAATCCCAAAGCGGGGGGTGACGACATCCTCGTAGAGAATTCCTTGTGTGAAGGTCCGAAACCGGGCACGTACGAGTTGTGCGAGGCAGACGTCAAATGTAAGAGGACGACAGGAGAGGAACTTCCCGAAAAATTAATGGGAACCGTGTGGAAGCAGATAAACCTAAGACATGTTTATAAAAGATCCGAAGTAAGTACCCGCTAGAATAGCCACGTTTGTAAAAAAATGACACGAAAATTACAAAAGTAAAGAAGGTCTTATCGAAAAGACTATAACAGATTTTAAGTGGGTTTTCTATTGTGATTCTTAAAAATAATTTGGGGGAGGAGACTTACATAAGAGGAATTAACTTTATTGGCCATCATACCGTACAGAAATATGGCCATAAATAATGTTTTTTCTTGTAAAAACCTAAAAGAAATTGTTTCTCCCATGTCCTGTCCCATGATGAGGGATTAATGACAAAGATTGTAAATTCCTATTCACCTTCTCTAATTTCTTCATTATCATGCTTTGGTGAGGAGTAAATGAGACCAACAAGAATTTACATTTATAGAAATGTTGAAAAAGGTTTTTTTATTTAATTATCCTTAAACAATGTCGAATTGGAAGAAAAATATATGTTTTAATATTAAAGTAGTATTTTTCCTAATTTTCTTCATAGAGTCCCTTCTAAAGATGAATTTGGAAACACTTAAAAATACCGACCCAAAAAACGCTATGCCTTCGAGAAGAAGAACGCAACCTTAAACCTTCTGTATCAGAATCCGTGAAAAAGTTTGTCCCTCCTTAAGATTCACAAACTAGGATTATGTCTTCGGCCTAGTGTCAGCACCATCGGTTCCCCAACATATAATAGCAAATATCAAGATTCTATATTAAAACCTTTTACAGGAAAAACTGAAAGTTTCGTACTTAATTTTATTTAAAAATGAAAACGCATTACATTAGATCCACGGGATATTCTGGTTAGTGTCGACGTAGTCGACTAAAGTCCCTATTCTTTACATTATCTCAGATATATTATAATCCGAGAATCTGGAACCATACCTTCCGATCTTAATTGAAAAATGGTTTTCTGCAAGATATCCGAATTCTCCATTATCAGCAATTATCACGAATATATTTATGGAAGCCTCTGAGAAGAAAGCCCTCGACACTTCGATCTAAATCCAAAATTATGGAAATGCTAAGTTGATGACACTCATGTCCAAGAATCGTTACTAAATTTTCTTAGGCGTTTAAATTTTTGATACCATAACATATATTTTACAATTAATTAGAAACAAATGATAATCTCCCATTTTTAGATATTCTTATCAATATAAATTCAGGCCAAATATTGGGTCTTTCTGGTTATAGAAAACCTACACACACAGACCGATACCTTATTGCATTGTCACATCACCATTCGGACCAAAAATCATCGGTTATCCACTTTCTTATTTACAGAGCCATAAAACTATCTCAGCCCGAGTCACTGAACCCAGAATTAAAACACTTTGAATCTGCTCTTGTCTCTAATAATTTCCACGCTAGAGATATTACGCGTTCCGTCACAAAATACACTTCACAATCATCCAAAGGCAATGAGTCTGAAAGCAATATCACTGACCAAAAAGTTCTTAAAAAATATAACATCTAAACAAGATCTACCACTTGTAACATTGTAACAAACATCTTCGATCCGTCAAGGACAAAATTCCATTTGAGATACCAGAAGTTTACAACATTTGATACATATACGGCAAAGAATATATTGGAGAGACCGGACGAAAAGTATCAACTAAGAAAAAAGAACACGAAAGAGCCTTAAGACTCATTAGTACTTGCCAAACACAATCACGAAATTCTTCCACCAATGAAAAATCCGAGATTCTGTAAGGAAACAAACAATCTTTACCGCGACTTAGGTCTCCACCAGTCACCAATATGTGTCATCATCAGTCAGATCATGGCCCTCAAACAACATATAAGCAGGTACAGAGTAGAATGCGAGCGAGTTAGAGTTCAGTTCAGTTATGGTTGATTGGAAAAACGTCAACAAATTCGATTCAAGAATGAAACAACAGACTCAGGAGAAATCCAAGTGTTTTGTTAATAGAAAACATATTTTTGTTGACGACTAACAAGACGAATATTTTAGAAGAAAATTCATACGCAGTCATTAAATTACACAAACGTTTCTTGAAGAATTATGTAAAAATATATACGATTCTTGCGCTTTTGTGAATAAAACTTATTGCAGACACGATAAGAAAATTTTTGTGAATTGCGATATATACATAGAGAAAACAGTGGTCCCAAAATAGAACCTTGGGGGACTCCAGACGTTACTTCTATAGGACTTTCGTTTAGACCCACTCAAACCAATATAGTTCAAAACTGATAAAGGCAACGGGTCATTCATTCAAAACGCTTTAGAATAAACTAACAAAGATAACACAGTCAACTTACAGTTGTTCCAGGACTTAAAAATACCATCAGTATTATTGAGAAGGACCGCGTAACGGCTGTAATTAGGTCCAAATGCCGATTGCTTTTCAGGGATTATATTAAATTGGTTTAATTAGATAACCAGCTGCTTTTCAATTATTTCCTCCTTTGCAAACTTTGGTAGAATACTTATAAGTCGAAGTTTTTGATTTGAGTGAAGTAAGGTCACAAAAATGGTAGAAAGAGCTCGTTGATACGGCAGCTTTGGTTTTGGTTTTAATATTGTTAATAATTTCAAGCATTTGAATTTTTTTCTTTTAAATGCCGATAGTCTAAATTATTAGGTCTGGTATTACATAGAACTTTCGAGTCTTCATAGACCACGCAAGTGCTACGTCAACAAATCATGTGAATGACTTTTGATGATTTCAAGCTCAATTTGTTTTGTACATGGATCACATTCACAGAACTCAAGCGACAAGGCTCGTCCCCCTTCAGCCAACAAATCCAATTTGACAGAATCCATTGGCAAACTGGTAATTGACGAAATTCCCTTGGATCGCATGCAGCTGATCGAATATCCACTGGTGGACTCCCAAGACAGCGCGAATCTATCTGACGCAGCATTCGAAAGCATGGGCGACACGGTCGGTCAAGTGGTGGACACCGCTAATAAGAAAGTCATCAAAGGTAAAGTTCAAATGGAGGCACAAAAAAGGCAACTCCGTTCGTGTGTCGCAGGATCTGATGCCGCGATCATGCTGCACCGCCTCCAGAACTCCTCGATTTCGGAGAAAGACCGGCCAAAGATCTGCTGTCGCCCAAAGGACAAGAAAGGAAGAAGGGACTCGAAAGACGACAGAGAATGCCATCTGTGTTGAGGGGAATTTGGAGAATTTGTTATATATGCTATAATTTATTGCGTTAATATTAATAAAATGTAAGGATTGTTTTAGTCTATTATTTAGAAACTAACAAAGCCTGACCTTCTCATGTTATGACGCGGTGTTTATAAATATATCAAGCAATGACCATAGAAGGCTTAGTCAGAAGTTTATTAACATTTCAACGATTTGCCGAAAAATGTATTATATTGAATGTGAGTCACCACGGTATTTGAAAGTCGATACTTTATTTACATTTCTTTCTGTTTAACCTCCATGCGTCTACACAGAAAGTTTTGATACAAATTTCGATTTATTTACTATGCGATGCAAGGAAAATATCCTACTTTCGATATTTAAATATGACATGGAAATTGCCGGTAATTGTACATAAATTTTATTGATATTTTGGGAAGTAAAAGCAAAAGAAGTAAAAACTCTTGATTGTTCCTCCTAAAGCAGAATAAAATAAGAAAAAAATAATTTACTTAATCTTATATATTAATTGTAGATAGGTAGTTGAAACAACAGCAAAATTTAAAAAAATGCTCCTCATCAAGACAAGGTAAATTCCATTTCATTTCATATTTGTGCATTATTAGGACGGATTGGAAATAAGTTTTCCTAATTTGGATCTTGTGTTACTGTTTTATTGGATTATTAGCAATAGCAAAAAATAGCAGTCTAATATCTAAATTAAACAAGTTTTAACATTGAAACCATAATATATTAGTAATATTAAAATGTAATAGATAATAATATATGTGACAAATATTATTTATTCACACACGTTCAAACGTTTTATTGTGTCAATAAGTGATTCAATTTTGAATTAAATTCATTCCTATTTTACCAAAAATCTACGGAAACCCAAAAAAATTTAAGCTCTATTAGCTAAATGATTTTTACAATGATTTGGTTGTTCAAAAAAGGGATAAATGTCAATAGTTTTAAATATTCAGAAATGGCAAACTCTGTAAAGTCGGAAATGATGCGAAAAACATCCCAAAGTAAGAAGAACGGCGGTTTCATTTTAATGTCCATAGAACTGTCATCATGTTACATGGACACTCATGAAATGGCCATGGACAGTGAAATGATACAGAATTAAATCCCAAACCCAATGAAGCTGCTAAATACAGTTTTCTATTCAAAATTTAAATTAGCAAAAACATTTTTTAATGCTCATTTGTGACCACCATGTATAATATATTTTCGCCATAGATAGGTTAAAGCATTGACACTTGAGCACTTCCAAGGACCCATAATAAAAATCTCAATTTTAGTTTTCACATTTTTCCAAAGAAATGTTCTTCCGCAAAGTAATGGAATAGTTTATTTTTCAAAAACTGTTCAAAACTTCTTATGGTATGCAATGACAAAAAAAGACTCCCGATCAAGCGAATAATTAGATAAGATAATTAAGATAAGGTATAGGAGCATCTTAAATGGGCAAGCATGTACGTAAATCGGACATTATCAGTTAATAGACTTATACAACTGTAGCTTATAAGCTCTGGTTGTGCTGAGACAGTCTGTTCTTCCCGAAGACTGCTTTCTCTTAAAGTCCCAGATCTTTCATGCTTACTGTACTAAACATTATGCATAAAATCGAAAACACGCATGTTTGAAAAATCATATACTTTCATTAAAAGTTCCCCGACCAAATCATTGATTAATGACAAAATGACATTTAAACTAAAAGTTCGAAACAATAGGAATGATTGTTATTATTTCTTGAACAAATAAAAAATAAAGAGAAGGGAATTTAAATTTCATAAATAGTAAGCAAAAATAAAAACTCCAAGGTTAAACTTAAAAATTTTTTTTTCTTCCGAGAATGCTTTATTTTATTACACAATTCCTCTGCTGCGAAACTTTTTTTAAATATTATTTACAATACTGGCGTTTCCAACTTCCATTGTCTAAAAACGGTTGAAATAATGAAGACATCATCCTTAAAACAGGGAGACGCATCTCTAGTGATTATTAGGGCAAATCTTCAAGAAGATTCATCGACACTACCACCGGAACGCATCATGGAACTATTGGATTGGTGCCTACGTAATTCGTATTTTTAATTGAAGAACCATTTCTATGCACAAGACGATGGTTTGCCAACGGGATCACCACTTTCTCCGGCAGAAGCAAATATTTACACGAAATGGTTGGAGGAAGAAGCTATCAAATCAACAACTATGAAACCTAATCGTTGAGATATATTGACGACACATTCATAATACTGGGAACAGCTAGAATTTTTCCTGGATCACATAAATATCATCACTCCGTCTATAAAATTCACAATGGAGAAAGATAAAAGCGGAGCAATACCATTCATCAATGTCTTGGTGGCGAGATCGGATTCACCTTAAAGAAAACCCACACATACAGTAACCAAGCTTAACTTAAAAACAAAGTTGAACGAATTAAAGAAGATCTAATGCAGAACCGTTGTTAAAGGCGACTGATTAAAGACGTCGTTACTAAGTGCCAATACCAAGCAGCACATAAATCAGAATCCAGCAAAAATCAACTAATAAACATTCCCTATGTTAAAGGAGTTCTGAAAATATGCAACAAAATACCACGTTAAACCGCCTTCAATTATGGGCAACCTATAGGAAGTTCAATAACGAAAACAGAACCAGAGATCATCACAAACAACAAAAACTGTATATGTATATGAAGTATCCTGAGAGTGTGGAAAATCTTCCGTAGGCAAAACGAAGCGACCACATACCCAACTTGGAGAAAGAAATAGATCTGGGCTTGCACAGCACACTTGAACAGAACTTCACAGAAGCAAATGAACATACTCCAGAATTATGCTATGAAAAAACTGGAAGTGTTCGCGATATGGTGTTAGAAACGCATCCTAAGAATACCCTGAGTCGACCGAATCACAAATAATAAAATCATGCGCAGAATAGGAAAGGAATGCAGTTATTACAACAATTAAAAATCCTAAATTGGAATACGTAGGCCATATTATGAGCAACGAGCAACGATATAGCCTCCTCCAATTAACTCTACAAGAAAAAGTGTGTAGTAAGAGCGGATCAGCACGAAGACGAATCTTCTGGCTTCTAAACCTAAGAAAGTGGTTTAAAATGACCACGACTGGATTGTTCCGCACAGCCGCCAACAAAAAAAGAATAGGCAACGCAAGAAGAAACTTAAGTTAAACTTAAACTTTGCTATGGTATTATCTATTTGGTTTCCAAAGAAACACCTTCACACTTTTTCCTTTCCCTTCCGAAGTTTGTAAAATCCGCTCTTTTCAAACTCGAAACTGTCCCTAGGATAACCTATTTGCTCACATTGCTCCACCAATTTGTAAACTCCTTTATCTCGCAGTTGTCCATTGCAATTCGCTCTGCGAGCGCTATAATTACGTTTGAAGTTGGCTTCGATTCGAATAAACAGGATTATAAACTTGAAATGGCCCCGCAATTGTCAAAGGACACTAATTCGAATACCGGTCAGATCTTGAACGGCAAACTATGTTTCGCGTTTGCCCGTATATAATTTACTTGATAGATTGAGTTCTTCGCGAGCATGGAGCAAACACGTTTCAAGTCGCAGCCCAACGGCGACGGCAAACATTGCCGCAGCAGCATCGATTCCGGACTATCGTTGTTTTCCTGTTTGCATAGGCCTCGATCTCGTCTGCTGCAATATCTCGTCATTATTAGCATCACAAATGAAGCCTCATGCTTATGTTCGTCGGAATTATAAGATCGCAGCGATTACGGCATAAATAATTTACCACCATGTTAAACACTAACGGCCCGACTAACCCGTTGTTTGTTCCGAAATCCATTAACAATGAAGGGCCCGAAGAAAACTGCGGTGGATAACTGTCGAGAGTGATGATCGACGCGTTGAACTTTGTGGTCGGATTTGAAACGGCAGTTTCAAGAATTTTGTCTGCCCTACAGTGGGTTATATTGGAGATTTCTAGTAGTCCAGCATACGATAAAACGTCATGACTTGCCTTGCTCTAATGTATTCAAATATAATAAGTTTAAAACCTACAAAGTAGGTTAGGATTATCGGTGACAAGCTACTAGCATACAGCTACTAGACATATAGAGGCCCTGCCTATGCTAATAGTACAGGAACTCGTGAAGCAACTATGTAACAAAGTTTGAGAAGGTCTGTTCAATATGCGCATGCGCGAGATTTGAAATTTCGTTTTTAACCAATGGCAGCGCTAATTGCATTTTCTGACGTTATACCCATAAGGCCTTGCGGCTTCCAGGTTGTCAATATTTGGATTTAAATTGAAGGAAAAAAATTAAAGGAATTGAGGGGTGGAAAGCGTTGTTAAAAAAAGTGCTATAAATATTATACTGAATTACAATTCTGCAAGTATTTCAGCGATTTGTTTCATTAATCGCTATAGACAAGATACCAGCTAATTTTTCCCGAATTTGCGCCCGTAAATCGCCGCAGTTTGTTTTTAAACTCATTGGTTTAACCTCTATTGAAATTGTGAATAAAGTCGAATTCACGAAATGTGACTCTAAAAGTGTAAATATAACTTTGAGGCACTAGATATCGCACAGAAAACATCTAAGTGGAAAAAATGTTCAGCAAGCACCTCATATAGACAGAACGCTGATTCTTTCATCGCAAGTCTAGTAATTGCAGAAACTTTTGCCTCCCAAATATATAATCGTAAAAAGTACCAATAGACAATATCGTTAAAAAACTGTAGGTATTGGAAAATTTGACAAAGAAAATTAAAAACTAGTATAAAACAACTCAATAAACAATTAGTCCCAAATGTCGTTTATTGTCTCAAAATTTAAAAAACATTTTGTTAGCAAAAATTGCATAGTGGCTACCGCAAAAAATTCCGCGTGAAAAATATTTTACAGCAATTGTTATCTGCTAAAAATACATGTAGAAATTGCATTGTGTCTATCGTGCTTTAGAAGCTAGTATCAATTCACACAATAATTTAGCAAAATAAATAAGAACTAAAA